ATTTATGTAAACGGGAGATGAGGTTTCTGTTGAACATTTACCTTGCACAGTGAGCATATTTTTGCATAGCTAGGTGGTGACTAGCACAATTCTCTCTATCAAACAGAACTAACTTCCTCGGGCATTCCCAACTCCATAAAGCCACACTTTACCAAGCACCTATTTATAACTTGCCAAGCATGGTCTGATAACCTTAGGTAAAATAGGACCCTGTTTAAAACAAGACAAGTCAACTACTGACTAGCTTAGTGAACAACAAAACTGTTAAGCTTTTCTAATGTCCTGGATGCATTTTTACTGAAAAGCAAAAAGAGAGGAATATCCAACCATAACTTTTTTGAGAGCAGTGGCCATGGGTAACACGAATCAAGATTATTAAAAATGAAACAAGTTACATAGGGAAGTACGCAGCAACTCATTGACTGGAATGTTGCTAGGAAAACAAACAAACAAAGCAGTTCTAAAAAAGCTTAATTTTTGATGAGGGCTCTTTTTCAGAGGAAATATTTAAAATATTAAGATTCCTGCAAGAATTTTCCTGCGAACTTCTGGGAGTGTGAAACTTACCAGGTAGTTTTCCCCAACCTTCATAGAATTTCATCTTCCTAAAAGCTTCCTATATCCCAGTACTTCTGAACTGTTCTGGAATAGAACACATGGTACAAACTAACTGCATCAAATAAAAATGCTGAATGAAAACAGAAACCCACAAACAGTACCCACAGTGTGTGTGTTCAGTCTTATCAGTGCATCACCAGCGATTACTTTTTTCACATAGCCTATTGCCCACGGTTTACTTACTCTGGAAAGCTCACTGAAAAGTTGAGTAGCTCAAAAAGCTGGCCACTGCTCAGGCCTAGTTAGCAGCTGTGGAAATCAAAGGAGCTCTGCATGTCATGAGGTGTTAGAACTGACATTTCTGAAAGCCATGATGTAAAATATTACCAAAATTGTCAGCCACTCTCTGGTTCTGATTGTGGTAGGTAGTCTTTAAGGAGATCTTCTTCAGCAACCTTTGTACTTATTTACTCCATTCATCACAGGGAGAACTCTGTAAACATATAATAATTAGTTCACTTTTGCCACAGGAAAATAGACCTTAGGTAAAGACATCAATGGTAGTGATGCAAATTACTCTGGACAAAATCACCATTCAAAAGTGGCATATTGAAGAGTTTCCTATTCATGGAGTAACACACATTGCAAACAGTAGAGACAGTAGTAAGAGAACTACATTATTTCTAACAATGGAGAAGGACCAGAGCATGCTGGAGATTAAAACATAAGCAATGAGTTCTACCTTTCACACAGAAACTTGCTCTGCCTCCCTTCCCACCCATATTGAGATAATTGTTACTTACTCTATTGAGACAGACTCTGGAGCCCCGTACACAAGCTTGATTTGATCAAATTCAACTGCCTGCAGTAAACAAGCCATTATTACGTTCATGTACCATGCAATTCTGTTTAAAGTTCTTAAAGAACTTGTGCTGCAGAAATACAGCCTTCTTTAGTCTCACTAAGGCAGCGAGACTATTCACAAGAAGGCTTGAATCAAGCTGATATAATTCAGAGTACAATGAAGTACCTAATGAACTTTTAAGAGTTTGATAAAGTGCATACTGGAACAGTGCAAGGACATATGGCATTTGAAATATTACAACACATTAACGTGCATAACTGCAGGGATAAACCTTGGCCCAAGACTGGTATTTGCCTCAATTCTTTATTACCCATTTCCAGTATTTTAATACCAGCTAGGCATCCTTCCAAGAAAACTGGAATTTTCTCCTTCTTTGAATAGACAGAATTCAACGGAATGCTATGCAAACACTGGCATCTATGATCTTTATCTAGTTAAGGATTTTCATGCACTGGATTATTCATGTTATGGATTACAGCAAGTTGTTCTGACCTAGGATAAGTGTAAAATAAAGCATCAACATCGCTGATCTAAAAAAAATGTGGTAACAGGGTTTAAATAGTAATAATAACAAACTACATGTTTTAAGCCAAAGGAAGCTGTCCTAACAAAAGCAGCAGAGCCTCCATCTCCAAAAGCATACACACTTGTTTATGCTGAAAAGAAACCCCAATATTTCAGGCACAGTCAGAATAATCATTAGAAAAAGAATTTCATCATACAGCTTTTATCAGTATATTAAAACATCCAAAAAGTTAACTTTATGGTTTATTTATTCTTTGAAATTTACATGGCAGTTTTGTAAAATTCTTTCCAGAGTTGGTATCAAGATCAGAGTAAGATATTCCACTTGATTCCTGGAAACTCAGTGGGAGATGGAAAGGCAAGTTTCGCTCATGCCTTGCAACTAGTTCAAAGGAACTAGTTACAGGAATTTAGCTAACTGCAGATACAGCAGGAAAAAAAAAAAAAAAAAAAAAGAAGACAGTTTCCCCATGTCAGGTCTATAGATGGCAGTAAGAAAAAGAACAAAGTCTTTTTTTTTGTTTTTCATGGAACTGGTATGATTCAAAATACCTAGAATGCAAAAGCATACTTTCACCAAAGTCAACAGGGACAGTCAGTGACTGCACAGAGGTTGGATTTCAGCATTTATGAAGATCCTAGTTAAGTGGATATTCACTGCTACAATAAGGCTTAAAAAGAACCATGATAAGTATACAGAACATTTGTGTGCAGAGAAAAAAAATGAAGCAGACTTCACACCTACGTTAAAAATAAACTCCCATTTGTCAACTTGTATTTTTAAAAATAACTTCAATGTTCTGGGAAACAAATGATCCAATCAGCATCTCCAAGAGAGAAAGGGCTCAACAGCACGTGATTTCACAGGAATAGCTGTTAGTAACAGTTTAGTAAGAGTAAACACTTGAGCAGAGGCTAGTGAGAAAGATGGCTCACTGACAGATTTTTACTGCAAGCAAGGGGTAAAACAAGACAGACAAGCAGCTAGATTCCATATATCCTCACAAATTGCTGCTGATACTAAACATTACACAGCACGGTGCAGAAAGTCGTACAGACAGAAACTGGGGAGGAATTTAGGTCTCCTAGTTATGAATCCACTGACAGTCAACTTCTGTTTTTCAGGATATTTAGCAGTATCCTGATGTATCTGCTTCTCATCTGCACCAAAAGATTTTTAATTTGCTTGTGGTTTTTGATTTTAAATATTTTTTTGAAAGTAAATCTCTCCCTATATTTCCAAGTACAAATTCTATCTATTGGGAATGTCAATAAATGTGATACATGTATGAGATTGCTAAACTGATCTTTAAAATCAGAGGAAGAGATCAGAGAACACCTATTCTCGTACAACAGCAGCTTTTTTACATCACACTTGAAGACTTTATAGGCTAGGAAATAATAATAATTTCCTCTCAACATGTAATTCAGGAGAAAGAAAGCATAAGTGAGTTCAGAACACTCAAAGACTTTGCTTTTACTTACTTTGCTAATTCCAGGACAGTGTTATTCTGTAATCTGTCACATCCTCCCTGCACTTGCCCCCCAAAAGAAACCTGTTTGCACAGAGATCTGTTTTCAGCTGAACACACGTTACATTTAAAATTAGTTTTAAAGAATTAATTCAGCAATTATTATCAGATGCTTGAGCATACAGGTAAAGATGTACTGATTACACAGACATATATAGGCCTCTCTTCTCTGAAAAGACAGGAATCAACACTGAGATAATTCCAAGCATTAAATTACACTTTCTCAAGTAGTGAAGCTCAAAGTGTACAAAAAAATGTTTTCTTAAAAAAATAAAAAGCCAACAAGAAAGTAAAGTACAGATTCATTCAGTTTAGAGGAGCTGTTAAAATTAGTACAGGGAAACTATTATTGCAAATTAATAATCTCTATTGACTGCTCTTTCCTCTTCAGAGTGTTCTAGTGGCTGTTGATTTTGCTTTCAGTCTTAGCTTTCAGTCTCACAAACAACGACTTACCTTAAAGTAATTACATTCAGATTAATTGAAAAAGTTGTACTTATAATGAAAACATCATAATTTTATGAAATATATGAAATTTTTTATTTCAAGTTTGCATCCACAGTCATACATCTGTTTGTCCTCACACATAGTCAGTTTGCATTGGCAACCACCAAAAAAGTTAAATAGCTTAGTTAAATAGCTTTTATGACACAGACACAAGGTAGCCAGACAGCTTTACTTTCATTAAACAAAGCCAGATTGTCCTCTAACAGCATTTATTACCAGTGCATAGGTCATTCTCTTTTCCTAAGAAGAAAGCAGACAATATTTCCCTTAAATGAAGGAACACAGATGACTTTTAATAAACCTGTTACTTCCTGAATGAAAGAATGATGGATAAATGTACCTGGATACACAGGATGCTTTCATTTGTAGCTTTCAGTTGCATTTGCTAGTTCACAAGGCCTTGCTCAGAATGAGTTTAAATATCCTTACCGATTTCCATTATCACTTTCATCATTATAATCACTATCCAAGTTTCACTTTTGAAGCACCAGTAGGATTTTTTTTTAATAAGACAAGAAAACAAACAGAAGACAGACAAGACTGCAGTTCCCTCATGTATGACGCTGCTTCATAACCACCCACTAAAAAAAAAAAAAAAAATATATCCTTTCCAACAAGGAAGCAGCACCAGAGACAGTTTGTATAATTTAGCCATAAAGTAAAACCAGTGTATTTTACAGCATTAAAAACTGCCAGTTATAGTAGTTAAGTTAAAAATTAGCATATGGAATGAGTGTCAGAAACTTATATATAAAAAGGTGAGTTAGTAAAAAACCTACAGATAGATTAAAATCAGAACGAGCAGCAAACACTGCTACCATTACACAGTACTCATGAAAGATGATTGATTCAGTGGTCATCTGAGAAAGAAGCTGATGACTGTACTGTTATAAAAATGGCAAGACATATTTGATCATAGTAACTATATGACCAAGTGTTAGAAGGAGAGAAGTAAGCATGATTCAGTTAACACAAATCCTATTTAAACAAGATTGCTTCCAAGCCACAAAACATTTAGTTCAGTTTTATATTTATAAGCATAATTCCAGTCCAATAGATGCAACTGACTCTGGTAAGCACAGTCTGGTAAGCTCTGAACAGACAACAGAACATAATTCCTAGTGCATGCAGCTCCATACAACTGGTATGACTGTCAGTCTTTGCTTATATGGCATTTTGCAACAGCAAGGCATACTGCAGTTCAGAATGAAGGAGAATAGCACAAGTGCTTTGATCAGAGGTAAGGTTCAAAATAGGCATGACATATTACAGTTTGTTTTTAGGCACGTTCTTTGGTTACATTCTCAATACAGTCTTCTTCACAAAAAAATAAATAAAACATTCAAGGCTTGGTTGAAGTTCAAGCAAAGATTTTTTTTCTTTTTCAGAAAACAAGACAGTAGAAGTCCCTTTAAAGTGATGCCTTATTACATCCATAAACGATAAAATCCCAGTGCTACAGTAAGGCATGTAAATACTGAACCTGAAAGAAAATAGAAATGGAGAAGACAGATAAGGAATCATTATCTCTTGGAATATATCTTCAGAAACCTAAAAGTAGCAGAAACTACTGCACTGCTAAAGATATAATCACCACTTCTTCCCCATATAAGAATGTAAGCTTTTTAATTTACAAAACACAAACAATTTCAAGGCAGAGGAACACAGAACTGACAAAGAAGGAAGGAAAAGGAATGTGCAGGAACTGGACTGGAAAACTATCAAAAGGTTGGAAAAAAGAAAACCTTAGCTGCTTACCATTCGAAAAAAGATAAAAAAGACAAGTTACAGTTGTAAAATGAGCAATAACAGGATTATTAAATGACAAAAAAAAAAAATCAAACTACTTTATTATAGCTTATCAATTTGTGTTTTGTGGGGTTTTTTTATTCTTTGTTGTGAATGTAATCAACTTTTGGTTTCTAGATATACACACAGAATATTTTTGCCACTGTTTGCAATGGAAGCAATTCAAGTAAACATATTTTGCTCTTTTTTTTTTTTTTTTTTTACTTCCATGATAGTAGGGATGATGGGGAAAAGAACTTCCTCTCACTTTAATAAGTTGCCTTTTATTTTTCAGTAATGGTTCTCTATAAAGCATATCCCTATAGTACAGTACTGTAGATGTACTCGTGACAAAACCTGCTGTGAAAGAATAATCAAGAAGTCTAAATCAGAAGAATAACTTCTCCTGTAATCCTGTTCATTTAATGGCACTAAGACTGTGATAATTTAAATATTTTGACATTTTTCCTACAAGAGCAATAACTTACTTGCTCCTAATGCATGTGCCTGAAAAATAAGTATTTGAAGAATTTGATAATAAACACCCAGAAAAACAGAAGCATTTAATTTTATAGATAGAGCTCAATCAGACAGATAAATGCAGGCTGCTTTTATAAATTAAGCTGGGCACAGATGAAGCCTTTTACTCTTAATGACAGCCAATCTTTTAGATTTCTCACACACGATTGCACTACAAAGAATGGAAAGAGCATACAGGCACAGTCCCTGCAAAATACAGCTGCAAATTACAGAAAACTCTCTCTGGTAATAATGCTGCTGATATTGATTGAGACTACTTAAAGTACTCATATTTTCTTTGAACCAGGGCCTTCATGAATACCTTCAATGGACAACTTGCAAAAACATTGTTCAATTTAGCAGGTCCACCACCAGATGTCTTACCTGCTAAGTACTTAATATTATCGAGTTTGTGCGATTCCAGCATTGTTTTCAGATCAGCAACTTCTGTGTCTATTTTTCTGTCTGTTTGGGTCAGAGCTCGATCTTGTTGTGCGTGCTAGAAAATAAAACAAACATGTAATTTGAACAGTTCCATGTTTAAATAAATGTAACCCATTCTTCTAAGCTGTACTTCCAACTCCTTCTTAAATGTATGTTGATGAAGTAATTTGCACTCAAAGCAAACAAGTTTTTTCCTTGCTTACCTATCTAAGGAACTGAACTCAGTAAATTTTCATTACATGTTCACTAAGATGTAATCTAGAACATGGCAGAACTGGGTGTCTTCTTATCTCAATCTAGCAGCATAATCACTCACTTTAATCTGTCATCTGGCCCACAGATGTTCAAGTCACATCTCAGTTATAATAGCCGTTGAGAAGTCTAAAAACTCTTGTGACAGAAACATACTGGAAGAGCATGAAAATTTATGGATTCTTAGAAATATCAGACTAGGTCTTTTGATGTAAAAAATGTGTCTTCATCTTGCAGTGAATTCTACTACAAAAACACCCATAGAATGACAGTCAGAATCTGATTATGACAGAAGACAGGACTTCATAGAAAAAAAAAGGGATTAAATTGTTACTCAGAAAGGGCTGAAAGCTCAAGCTTGTAAACTCAGAACAACAGCTGCTCTGCTGCTGCTATTTTCAAACCAGCACTACTGAAACACTGTAATCAGTTAATGATTTATGGCGAAAGGTCTTCCTGTGACTAATTTTCTACAGTACAGAAATCAAACAAAATGAAGAAGAATACTTTAGTAAAAGCCTCCTTTAAAATGAACTCAAATCAATCAACATATCGGTTTCAGTTCCAGTGAACATGGAAAAAGTCACTGATTTAAAAACAACCATAAGGATAAAATGCTGTATAGAGAAAAATACTACGTACATGAAGTTTCAAAACAGCAACAACAAAAAATAGCCCACTGAACAGGTTATATGTGTGTGTAGATGTAGTAATATACATAAGCCTTTTTATTCTGTAGACACTTCATTTGTCTGTTCCACCATGGAAATACACAGAAAAATAATAGATCTCAATGATGACATTTTGTACATTGAAGGGTCTAAGAGCATGAGCAGCTTCAAAAAAAGAATACCAGCTCTGTAACACAAGTAAAAAAAGCTTTTTATATGATAACAAGCTACCAAGTTCTTACCAATTCCACTATTTCTGTCCTCATTTCAAGTAGTTTTCTTTCATTAAGTGAATACTGGAAGGGAAAAACAAACAACAGAGAGATAAATAAGATACTGTCTTCAAGTCCTTTCCTAAACACTTAAAAGCACAATTCCTTTTCTGTTCTGTTTCCCAGTTTTCTACAAAACTGAATCTGAACAACCATGTTGTCTGACAACACTTGAAAGATACTATTGCAAGGTGACTGCTGTCATTGGAAAGTTGAATGTAGACAGGTGTTCAGCACACACTAGAACAATGGTATACAATAAAAAGCAGATGGCAGAAAAGTTGGCAGATTTGCACTTCTGCCAAAGACCTGTGACTCTGAAGAGTAAATGGGACAGATAACTAACTCAGAGCATACAAACACCAAGACTGAACCATCCAATTTCTTCAGTAAGGGAAGTAATTTTTAAGTTATCTTAGCCAACTCAGCTACCAAAGATGTTTCACCAGTATTACAGACATTCTCTATTCAAAATTCTGAAATGGTCAGAACGGTACTTGAGAAACACCACTGAAAATGCTCTACTTGGTAGCATTTGTATCTCATGTTAAGTCACTGGTGAAAGAAAATACTGCAAGTCAGAAGTCCTGGCTTACTCATAAACTGCAGTTATCTAGATTCAAAGAAAAGTAAATCCAGATTCAAGAAGCATACATTTAAGGCAGGCAGGTACCTTTCTGATTCATGAACTGGCATTAGTTGACATATGTAATGGTTCCTATCCACTACTGGAGCAATTCAATTACTCCTAGGACAGCTGCTAAGCCATCAGTCTATAGTGCAGAGTATTAAGGTCATCAGGCTCCCATCTCAGAATCCTCAGTCACACAGTGATAACCTCATCTACTGACATTCCCATGTGGGAAGTTGCTTTTTTTTTTTTTCCTTCCAGTCTAGAGGCTTATTCCACTTTGGTATCAAACTCAGATTAATCTACATAAATGCCTCAGTGTTGAAAAACTCTCTTTAAATACCCAGAACACTATTTGAACTTTTAACAGATCCAAAGATCCAGTTAAGAAACAGGCACAAGGCTACAAATGTAGAAAAAAATAGAAGAGACAAATAATAGCACGTCTATAATTAAACACGTGTTCCTAAATTCTGCAAATTGATGACAAGGACAAAAAAAATTCAGTAGCATGTATTGCCTCAAAGTAAAATTCTTCGAAGTGTTAAGATAACAAAACAATACAATTTTAAAAAACCCCTTTTTTAGTAAAGTTTAACATAGCAATGTCCCATCCCTGGAAGTGTTCAAAGCCAATTGAATGGGGTTCTGGGCAGCCTGATGGGTGGCAACAATGCCCACAGCAGAATGGTCTTTAAAGTCCCTTCCAATGCAAGTCATTCTATGATTCTGTGTGAATGGGACCCCACATTAATAAGCTGATTATCACCATCAAATGTGGCACTGCATTTAAAATAAACAATAAACAATCCTTCTGTTACAAAAGACCAAGACACGTCTGTAATAACATAAGCACATAAGAAGAGAAAAGGCAAGGTTAACCCTACCCTGAAATTAAACTGGGAGATTTCCCCTTAAATCCATGTTTTTTTTTGCAAAGCAGAGAAAATTCAGTTCTGCCAGATGCATCTTGATGTTTTTAAACAACAAACTTAAGACACGTGAATATAAGTGAAAATTTGTTCCATGCTTCAAGATTTTCCAATTCAACCTGTATCACTGCAGATATACATCAGGGCATAAGCAGGTGTGCATTAGCTAATGAAGACTTCCCCAGGAAAAGTAAAATGGAATGGAGTTATTAAAAGATAAAGCACTTAGAATTTGAAACATTAGAAATGGCTGACACGAATGCTGGCAAATTAAGATAATCTCCTTCAGCACTTAGAACACACACCAAAAAATGACTTATATCCAAACAGTTCTTTCTGTCGAGATTGCAAGTAAATATTACTTCTTCATTACCTGCCTGTGATAAAATGACTGAGTTACAAACAAAATTTGCTGTAAAATGTCACTAAAAGATCTGTCCATTTTGATGATGCAATTCAAGTTCCTAAAAGCTGTTCAAAAAAGATCTAAAACCAGATTTCTATTTAGAGTGCTTCATTGAATGCAAAAAAAAAAACAAAAAAAAAACCCTTATCTTCTGATTTTTCAGATATGTTAATCTAATTGAAAAGCTTGTCAATTCAGTTCTGCCAGACATTTCAAAGTCAAAAACAATTAGAATCAGTATCAGTTACAATAAAAATTAATCACAACTACTTTCACAACAGGTACTGCCTGACAAACTAGCCACACTGAAGCCTCTTGCTATAGGAAAAGGAAACATCCTCAATAATGGCAAGATAATGGAATGTTTATACTTAATTCAATGAGAAAATAGTGCTATGCTAACAATACAGAAAATCTCGAGGCAGCTAGTCAGAATATTTAACTGTAGTACATTAATACTGATATGGAAACAATATCAAAAGAGACAGACATACAAAAAACCCACAGTGCCTTGTACTACAGCAGCATAAAGATGAGTAATTTGGATTAATAGCATCTTGAAAAGGAATAACACTACAGATTAATATTAAACTGATGCTCTTACCCAAATTTGGAGATTATTCAGTGTTTAGATGTATCTAGAAGAAAGCAATCAGGACTTACCAATTCTTTTACTCTGCTCTTCTCTAGGTTTAGGTTTAGTTTGTTATCTGCACGAACTTTGGTAATTTCATCCTTACGGGAATACAAATGATAAAGCAGTGAACAAGAATTTCTATTTAATTGTAAGCAAAAAAAGTTAGACAAAAATACCATGCCTCTTTTTAATTAGAGAGGAACTGGATTCTAGAGACACAATGTGCATAAATTTCTAAAGTACATGCATTCCTGCCTTTCCACTCGTGTTCTGTAGGATGAGTTCATTCTCACTGGAACAAATCAAAAACCAACAACTACTTTTACACCAGAATACTCAAAGCAAGAGTTAATGAAGAACAAAACCTTCTACAAATTCTGGGAACGTTTCATAAACCCACGACTCACTACTTTTAGAACTCCTTGCCCATGCACACTTGTAAATTGGATTGGATTCCTCCTATGAAGGAATCTTGATACTCAAGATACTTTAAAAACAGTTTCCAACTTTAAAATTTAAAAGGAAATCTGTTTCTAAAGACTGCATCTAGGCTCTCAGAAAAAAAACACTGACAACTAAGACAGAAAATGCTTATTATTTTTAAACACATAACTTTTAAAACTACCACTAAGTATTTTGCTTCATGGATAGCCCAAAGCAATCCCTACTTTTCTTAGTGACAACTGCCATTTTATGTTAACTTCCCAGCAGGAATTCTAGCCAGATTACACTTTGTCATAAGACAAACTGCTGATCAGATGAATATGTGGGAGAATTAAGAGATTGATGATGTTCTGGGATATTCTGCAATTAAAAACAAGTAAACATCTCTCAAGTAGACCAATGTCAGCTAGACAAGACTTCATTAACTTAGTACAAATAATAATGACATTCAATTTCTATGCTAGGATTTTTGAACTTTACCTGTGTTGTAATTAGATGTCATTACAGCACAGTGTTACAATTTAATGAAAAATTTGAAATATTTTGAAGCCTTTACAACATTTTGTCATTCTGTCCTTCAGAAGAAAAAGCATGACCAAATGTAATTATTACAATTATCATTTTATCTTTACAGTAAAAAGTTAGATTTAAAGACACCTAACTTAAAGATGACTCAGATTCTTCATGTCCTACCAGTGAATATGCTAACTCATTTATATGCAAGTGAAACAATAGAATGAGTTAAAAGACAAAAAAAATCAGATGCTGAATGTATTTTAAAAACAATATTCTGAGAGCCAGTGTGCATTAAGCACTTCATAACAAAACAGTTTCCAATCTTAATCATTCTTGCAACAATTTCTATCTGCATAAAAGCTACACATTCATCTAAGTAACAGGTTTTGAAACAATCTTGATGAGAGAAAGGTATTTTGACTGCTACTCAGGAGAAGCAAAGTACGAAGAGCAGAAACACAGCACTGGTTATTAAACCTAAGAATTATTTTTTCTTGCTAAGGTCATTTGCTAACAAACAAGTGGGACCAAACTACTGGTCCCAAATTTACTGACTAAGTCTATTTTAAATTCTGGACAGTTACATTTCAATTCAGTACTTTGTGTAAGTACACAGTAAGTTTACAGTTCTGTCACCATAAATCAAATGTGTGTGAAACTCACTTAGTTGCAGCCCATCAATCTCAATTACAACAGTCAAACACAACCTTTACAATAAAATCACAACAGCAACATTTTTTTTTTTTTAGCAAATAAGACAGGGCGTTAATTCTTGATTATATTGGTACAGTATCTTACCATGACTTGCTTCTTTATCTGCTGGAGTTCAAGTTTTATTTTCTGGGAGAGCAGAAAAAATGTACACTTTAGTATTGTACACAAAATCTGACAATCTATACATACTAACCAATTTGTATGATCAGTAGCAATGATTATAATCCGTACTGCGAAAGGAAGGTGCCTTAGTTTCAGCTGGGATGGAATTGTTTTTTCTTCAGAGCTTCTGATACGATGCTATGTTTTAGTTCTAGGAGAAAAACAATGCTGATAACACACTGGTATTTACAGTTGCCTGCTAAGCAGTGTAGTACAGAGCCAAGACCACTTGCAGCAAAGGGCCCGGGGAGCTGGGAAGGAACAGAATTAAGACAGTTGAATTAAACTGACCAAAGGGATATTCCATACCATAGGATATTAAGCAGAAGGAGTTCTGAAGGGAGTTGGAGTTCATCTCTCTTTCTCTACCATTGCTTGGGAGGCTAGCTGGGCATCAGTCAGGGGGTGGTGAGCAATTACTTGTGCACCACTTGTTATATCTGTTATACAGACATAACTATTTTTCTTTTCCCTATTTTAGTAAATAGTTTTATCTCAACCCAGGGGTTTTATTTTATTATTATTTTTTAATTCTCTCCTACATCCCACTGGGAAGGGATGGTGGACCGAGTTGATAACAGTGCAGTGCTCAGCCACCTGCCAGGTTAAATCACTACAGAAGGCAGAATGAACACGGTTTAACTTCATTTATATCCTGAGCATGTTTGTAGACAGACCCACCTGTACATGTGTGTACTCAATCAGTACTGCATATTTCCAAACAACAGCACAAGACAGAAGCTAGCACTGTCCTACAGCACTACAGGTGGCCAAATGCACAGGATGGTATTAGCAAGACTAAACACAGCCAAAAGTAACTGATTACTCCCTCATGCTTAACATTTGTGAGCTTACATCAGAAAAGTTGTGTCCAGCTTTAGGCTCCTCGGTACAAGACAAATGTTGGCATACTGGAACAAGCTCAATGGAGAGCCACCAAGATGATGGAAGACTGCAGCAAGTGGCATAGGAATGGAGAGTGAAAAGAGAGAGTGTGCGAGACAGCAAGCAATGTGCTTGTTTAGCCTTAAAAAGAAATTGCTAAATGGTAATCAAAACACAGCCAGCAACTCCCTTAATGGTCTCTAGCAGTCCCTTCTAAGCTAAATTATTCTATCACTATTTCTTTCATAAGATATATGAGATAAAGAAAGTGCTACAACTATCCATTAATTCTAATGGATGAAAATTATCGGAACAAAAAAGGGCATCAACAATTTATGCCCTACAGCTCAGTAGTTTCTTCCCTCCTCACTGTTTTATTTTCTCCCTCATGTGTGATCAGGATGATTTAAGTTTTTGCCAAGATTCACAAGATTCCTAACAGCCTATTTTCCCAGCTTCCATCTGGATGGAGGGACATCAACAATCTTTGGGTCAGCAACTCCTCCCAGCTTTGTATCACCTGCAAACTTGCTGAGGGTGTATTCTGCACTTTTGTGAGATTATTAAGTTGGTGTTAACCCATATTAGCACCCAAGTCAACCCCTTGGATACAAAACGCTTTTTTACATCCTTAATAAAATTAAGTACCACAAGTCCAAGATACTGATTTTTACCTCATTTTCTGAACGCAGTGCTGAAAACTCACTTTTTTCCAATATAATCATGTCCTTTTTCAATCCACCAATATGGGACATTATTTGTTGAAGAGCAATCTCCTTTAAAAGATAGAAGACAAGCCTCAGAACATATAACCATAATGTATTTGTATGTGCAGATGAGAAAAAACAACAGGCTAATCAGGTACTTCTAAATCTTTAATCTGGTAATTTAAGATTGACTATCTTAGTTTCAAAGAAGGCAAGATAAATTAAGAGAAAGTGACAAAACAAGCAAGTTGTGCTAAAATGTTAGTAATGTTTGGGGGAAAAAAAAAAAAATTAGCAATGCTAACACAGATCAGAATAATTCAAGCAATGGCCTAGGATCTCATTTCTTCCAAGTCTTCAAATTCTTAACCTAACAAAGGCAGTGGGGAGAAAAGGTGACCCTGTGCTAAACAAGGAAAGCCAGCTTTCACACCAAGACTCCCCAGTGCTACCCTACTCTTGTAATTTCCTCCTTTTCCACTTTCTTGTGGAAGAGAGCTCACTCCACTTTTCTATTCAGCTAAGCAGAAGCATGCACTATACTTACACTTTTAACCACTACTCTCAGTCTGACAGAAGTGAACTATCAGAAGACAGACAAGCATCCTCCTCCATTCCGGAGGATGGAAAGGTCTGTACATACTGCTTTTGATGCTACTATATCCACATGCAAACAGGATTCCTCTCTCTCTGCTAAATGTTTCCCACCAATAAGCAGATCCTTGCTTTTGATTCTGGATTAACAAATCTGACACTGCAACTTCGTTTTTGTCAAGTAATGATATTCTAATTTACAGCACTATATAGCATCTGGAGATGCTATAGGCTACCTAAAAAAACAAAAACCAAAAGCAGTGAGTCAGTGTACTGGAAATATCACAGAAGATCTAGAAAAAGAGTACTGCCATGGATATCTCCTTTCTTATTACCTGTTGTGTTCAGCTTATTTTTAGTCTCTCCCCTCTTCACTGAACTCATTAAAAGGATTTATTCCATTTTTTCCATCTATTTCTCACTTCTATACATATACAATGTGTATGTATTTTTCAAGGCTTTTATTTATCTCTTACGTATCCAATTATGGCCTAATGGCAATAACTACATTCAGAGTTTTCCAAGTTCTCTTCCAGTTCTTCATTCTCTTCTGGTATAAGCCCTTGACCACACAAAGACTATAACAAAGCACAGATTTACCATGTTACCCAGAGGTCAGGTCAATACACACCTCCTGAGCATGCCATATAAGCTTGTACAGTTGAACTTTAATGACAAAAAGTCACCTGAGGGTCATACTTAGCACAGTCACAGAAAAAGGGGAAAAAAATATATCTACTTTCATTTCAAAAATCTGGGAATACGAGGAGGTACAGATGCCAACAACTGCTTATTATTAAACACACACAGTGGGATAAAGGGCTCTTAAACAATGCATTCTCTGATATACTGCAGAACAAATTCAGCACAGGAGAAGGGAGTGCTTTTGCATTTGCCTTTCCTGGAATCTAAGAGTTAGAAGAGATGGACTGAAGCCTCCCCATACATGTGATGCAAAATCCACTACTTAACGAGCTGCCCCAGTGTCAAGACTATTATACTATGAAGACAGCAACTACAGTTTTCTCACATTAAGATGGCAACTCAGTTACCACAAAATTATTTGAATCCTTTGTTTGGAAAGTGACCTGGGGCTGTGAATCCCAGCCTCACAGAGCAGTACTTCACTTACTGCTTCTCACTAGCATGGTCTATTTGACACACTTATGTGGCTGGGAATTCCAACATATTAGATATTGTGAATCACATTCAAAAGATGCTTAAATTCCATATTGAGCAAGTTGTGTCTCACTCTAAATTTTAATTTCATTTCTGGAGTCAGATGTGCCTAAAATATTCAACACTTTCATGTCCACTTGCTTACATTGATCTGCCTGTGTGCAACCTGACAAAGGGCTCCCTCTCAAAAACAAAACAGCCATTCCCTCACAAATTCAGTTCAAGTCTATGTAATTTTCTGGTAGCCAGGATGGATCTCCAGCTGTTCAAAATTATCAGTCCATTTTCAAGCAAGTTTTCTTCAGTTCCTCTCACTGATTTACATGTGTGTATATATATATTTATACACACACACATATATATGTGGGTGGACTTAAGAGTATCCCTTGAACAACATATGAATGAAAGGAAACAGACAACTTACAATATCAGTATGCAAAACATACTGTTCCTGTGCATTATCAGTATACACAACTACACTAACTACACACTAAAAGCAATGCAAAGAAGTTTAGCTCAGTCCTAACACAGTGTAAATGTCACTATGACAGAAAGATAAATTTAAAAACAGACTACATATCAGAATGGTAAATTACAGGAGGAAATCTTTTACGTTGTTGCTATAAAACTAGAGAAGAAAGTAATGTAGGAGCTGTTACTAGTTAAATCCATGCCTAGAGTATCTCCCATAACTGGGTAAAAGCCTTTTCAGCAATTCTATTCAGGTTACAATAAAGCTAGGAAGAAACAAAGAAACAAACAAATACACGAACATTGTACCAGATCATAGTTCCTAAGTTTCAAGGTCCAACACAACACTTTGATAAGTAACAGGTTCAAGACAAAACTCAATAGCCAGTAGATACACATGGATAGCTATTCATTTCAAATTTTTAAACATTGTCTACCAGTAAATAATACAGCAACATGCACTTCATTAGGAGGCATACTAGATCTCTATTGTCTTTAACCCTTCCACCTTCTTTGAGCTAACCTGCTGCACTTTGGTCACCATGTCCTTGTAAATCATATCCAGGTTGGTGTTCACGATTTTCACGAATGCAGACACAATCACCTCCGACTGCTGAGTAGTGAATCCTAAGCAAAACAAAATACAAGAACATTCGTAGAATCATAGAATTGCTCAGGTTGAAAAAGACCTTCAAGATCATCAAGTCCAACCACAACCTAACCATACTACCCTAACTCTAACAACCCTCTGCTAAATCACATCCCTGAGCACCACATCCAAATGGTTGTTAAACACATCCAGGGATGGTGACTCAACCACCTCCTTGGGGAGCCTATTCCAGTGCTTAACAACCCCTTCTGTAAAGAAGTTTTTCTTGATATCCAACCTAAACTTACCCTAGTGCAACTTGAGGCCATTTCCCATTCAGAGACCTACATCAGGACAGCTGATGAACAATTTCTAATATTCATAACACAGCTTTTTAAGAAAGCAGTCAGTTATGAAATGTAATACAACATATTCCTCTCTATCTAGCACTACCAGAGCACAACCAGGCAGTACAACCAAGTTCCTCCACTCCAAAATCATGCCTGTAATACACATAGCTGCTTCTGTAGTACAGCACTATTACAATATCAGCAAGATAAATGTTGGAAGTTTTTTCTAAAAGTACTATGGAATGCCATCTCATGTGGTTATTTTTATGAGAAAGAACCCTGACATTCAAGAGCAGATACCTACTTTTAGTATACTGTAAGTAGGGGATAGGCAAATCTCAGCAATTCCCAACAAAGAAGAGCTCTGATTTTAGGCCTACAAGCACCTGAGCCCCTATAAAAATACACTTTGAAAGTGGTGAACTATCATAAAACATAGTTTCAAATACGTAGCAGGTTAGTGTTAAAAAGCAGATTCGGGGCCTGAGAGTGAGTCACTTTCAACAGCAGAGCTGATTTAACCATTTGCCATCACCAAAAGGGGGTACTCTTCCTCCTGCTGCTATATATGTGTCCTGGCGCTCACACAGCTGCTCTGTGAGCTCATTAAACTAATGTCTCAGAATGCTAATCGAGCAAAATGAACTGTGGTTTCCTAAGAATCAGGTTGGCACACACGAAGAATGAAACTACACAGGAGGAGAAAAGTGACTGGGATCTCTGCTTTCCAGTGCTATCACAAAGCAATTCAGCTGCACGTTCCTTTCTCTTCGTGTTACTGAGGTAGCGAAGGCACATCGTGAATCCAGACGGATCTCTTCCTTTACATTTTAGGGTAAATGAAGGAATACTTTATACAGTATTCTACACTCCATCCCAAGAGCTGCATTTTACGTAGCAGCCCGAATTCAACCGCATTACAAAACAGCTGCATACTGCAAACTCAGCAAGCTAAGAACCCACCCGTGATCCAACCCAAGGGATGTGTGTGGCAAATTACCATTTCCTTCCAGCAGGCACACCAGAGCGTGAGTGTCAAAAAAAAGCTTCCTATTTCCCAGCAAGGAAACGCTGTCCTTGCTTTGTAAAAACGAAGGCGCGGAGCTGCTCACACCTGAAGAAAGACAAGCAGAAGGTTGACGTATCCTTACGAAATAACAAGAAATGAACACACGAGCTCTCCAGACGTTTCCTACTGGCCGCAACAACGCAGGAACGCGCAGCATCACCGCAACAGCCCGCGACAACGCGCACTGACCGCCTTGAAAACCCCAAGCGAGCAGACTGCTGACTTCTACGAGCACAAAAACCGACAGCAGCGCTGCCGCAGCTCCGAAACACCTCCCGGATCCCCCACGTCCCGGAAGAACCCCACCGAAGGGCAGAAGCATCCCACTTATCAACGTTCCAAACCGCGCTCCCCGCTCTCACCGCTCTCCCCGCAGCGCCGCCCCCACCCCGCGCCGCCGCTAATGGCGGCCACCGCGCGCGGACAGGCGGGCGGGAGGCGGTGACGTGAGGCGGAAGCGGGCGGGAGGGCGCCGCGGGGCCGCAGCGCTAACAGCGCCCGCCTCGCGGCCATGCCGCCCGCTCCCAGCGGCGAGCGAAGAGAGAAAAACGAGCGGCGCTACCGGAGGCTGGGCACCTCCCTTCCGCCGCTGCCGTCGACCCGTTTCCGCCTCCGGAGCGGGGCTTGGCGTTGCGGATGGAGCCGAGGAGCGAGGGCTGTGCTGCGGTGCTCGTCCCGCCTCACGCCTACGGGCGGGCGCGGGGGCTGCTCTGCTGCTGTGAGGCGGAGCGGCGCTGAGGTCGCCTTGTCGAACGGCGAGATTTTTCCGAAGGCTTAGCCGTATTTCAGACGTGTTGTCGTGCTGGGAGGAGGCTGAAGTATGCTTAGGGGCTTAAAGATCGGTGATCACAGTAAATCAGTACGCAGGATGGATCATTCAGCTATATAATTATAGTCAGGACAGCGGTAGCGCACAGCAGTGATGTTCCTCACAGGCATCACGTCTGCTTGGCACTGTGTGCTTGGGGCCGGGCGCTGGCACAGTGCTTACCACCACAGAATGGCCAGGGTTGGAAGGGACCTCAAGGCTCATGGATCTCCAACCCCCTGCAACACGCAGGGCCACCAACCTCCATATCTAACACTAGACCAGGCTGCCCAGGGCCCCATCCAACCTGGCCTTGAAGACCTCCAGGGATGGACGGGGCATCCACAACCTCTCCGGGCAGCTGTTCCAGCACCTCACCACTCTCATAGTAACC